ATGAGAGAACTGAGTCACCTGTTAGGTGCCTTCAACAATAAAAAGTCCTCTTGCTGTTTGCATCCATTGGCTTGGCTTATTGAGTCTGGGGGATCCTTCACTGAACCTTAGAAATTAGGGTCTTTCACCAAGTTTCTAGAACTGGGATTTTGTTAGTAAGAAAAGAGGAAACGAACATTTAAGATAGCAGGACAATGGGAATGTTTTAAATGAGCAAGAAAAAAAGCTACAGAACTTTGCTAGAAAGCTAGAACCCCAAGATGTAATGGTTTGCATATTCAGATAAAACATAAAGGGGAGGCTGTCATGCAGTTAGCTAATCCATTCAATAAGTAAGGGCTTTCTGCATTATATGCTGATGACAGTAGAATATAAACCTCATGTCAGCAACTATTGTTATAATAATGGTCCAGTCATCATAAGTCTTCATCAAATTAACAATGAATATTTGATATTTCTTATAATTATAACTGTGATAGAATATAACTTAATAGTAACATACAATTTTACATACACCAAAGCATGTATGTAACAATTTGAGTAAACTATCCTTACTTTTAGGAAAGAAGTAAAATCACCTCAACAAGAATTTCTTAATAGAGAAAGACATCATTTGTACAATTTTTATTACCCAGAACAATGAAACTAAGATGATAGATAATAACAATAGATAAAAGATTAATACCCTTGTATTCTCGCAACTCAGTAGGCTGAGCCAGGAGGATCACAACAAGTTAAAGGCAAACTTAGGATATATGTTAAGTTTGGGACCAGCACTGTTTGACCCTATTTTTTATAAAAAGGAAAAGAAAAAACATAATCTGTTAAAAATATTTCAAAGCTTTAGATAATCAAAAAAACCAATGTGGAATACAAAAATTGTGCAAAAATAAACAGAAATTGAATATTGAATATGATAGATGCAAAATGAAGAGTGGGTTTGAGGGCATATGATCCATATATATTATATATTTGCATAAAGTCTTTATAAAACCTAGTAGCATATAAAATGAGTATATGAAAATAAAAGATAATGAACATTTCAATAAAACAGACTTAAATAGTGAATCAAAAATTAATAAGTAACTCTTATTTTTTTCAGCAAGCCTATTACTACACATATAACAAAATGAATTAAAATCAGTATATCATAAAGCTATCTGTATTACAATATTCACAACAGCACTATTGACAACAGCCACAAGATAAAAACAACTCATCTGTCCACCAACCCTTAAACGGATAAAGAAATGCCAAACCTATAATTATAATTCATGGTAGTGCATGAGTGAATATTTTGTGTATCTATGTATATGAGTTTATATATGTACAAGATAGAATACCATTCAGTCACAACAGAATGAAATTCTGTAATTTGTGACAACATGGATAGAACTGGAGATCAATATGTTAGTGAAACAAGCCAGGCATAGCAACACAATTATGACATGATTTCACTCAGTATGTGGAATGTTAATGCAGTCAATCTCATAGAAATGAGAGTAAAATGTGGGGAGGGTAGATGGGTAATTTTGATCAGTTACCATTGGATAGCATTAAGAATTTCTGGTATGCTACCACAGAGAAGTGTGACTAGAGATAAAAACAAACACCTAGAACAGAGAATTCTTCAATGTTTCATTTTAAAGAAATAAGTGTTTGAGGAGGTACATATGTTAACCTACTTTAAACATTACACAATGTATACATATTAATGCAGTGTAAGTTATATTATTAATATGAACAAGTTTTATGGCTTATGTATCATTTAAATACAAATATAAAATAAGTATGGCAAAGTGTATAAATAGTGACATAAATGAAGCAATGAAGGATAATTTAAGGAGGTGCATGTCTGCAAAAATTGAAATGTACTGTCATAAATTTTACTCAGAAGGGTCTCAGTTGCTGATTACCTGCCATATAGCAAACTACAATCATATTACCTCCAAATACTTGAACACTTACTATGTATCACATATGCAACCTATTTTAAAATACCCAGAATACTAAAATAACATATATGAGGTGTTTAATCTTTGTAACAACTTTGAGGTAGGTATTACTAACATCACTTTTTGATATGGTAACCGAGATACAAATAGGTTAGGTAACAGTCTGAAAGTCATAAACTTAGTAAGTCATAAAGTCAGGCTATGCAATCTATGCACCATCCTATGTCTTAATTGCTATTCTACATGACCTTTCATCCTTCCTCTATCAACACTAAAAAAATGATACTTGAATTTTAAATAATTACTACAGCTTTATATTTTTGTTTCTTTGTTTCATTTTTAGAAGTAGATTCTCATTCACCCTAGGCTAACCTTGAACTTCCATATACCAAAGTCATCCCTGAACAAGATGACCTGCAACTTCTGACTCTCTTGCTTCTACCTACCTGGTGCTGGGAAAATAGAGGCATGTGTCATCATCATGTTCAGTTTAATGAGGTATTGGGGAGCAAACCCAGGGTAATAACTATCACATAAATATAGCACGCATTCAACGTTGGTAGCATTAAGTTATAGCATTTATGAGAAAGTAAAATGTTATATTTCTAAAGAAAAAATTCAATTTCATAATGAAATGTGATATGAAGATAAGCTATAATAATTTGAGACTTGAATCACTACACATGAGTAAAAGCTATAAATCAAGGCTGTGCCAAGCAAACTGTGTTTTATGCCAAAACCAACACGTACTTCATAAATGGTTTCCAAGTGCCTTAACACAAAAAGTTCATTTATATAGAAAGTACTGATTTTTCACTCAGGATAGTGTTTTCTATTTCCATCCATTTGTATGCAAAATTCAAGAAGTCCTTGTTTTTTACTGCTGAGTAATACTCTAATATGTATATATTCCATACTTTCTTCATCCATTCTTCCGTTGAAGGGCATCTAGGTTGTTTCCAGGTTCTGGCTATTACAAACAATGCTGCCATGAACATAGTTGAGCACATAGTTTTGTTGTATGATAGGGCCTCTCTTGGGTATATTCCCAAGAGTGGTATTGCTGGATCCAGGGGTAGGTTGATCCCGAATTTCCTGAGAAACCGAAACACTGCTTTCCAGAGTGGTTGCACAAGTTTGCATTCCCACCAGCAATGGGTGAGTGTACCCCTTTCTCCACAACCTCTCCAGCAAAGGCTATCATTGGTGTTTTTTATTTTAGCCATTCTAACAGGTGTAAGGTGGTATCTTAAAGTTGTCTTGATTTGCATTTCCCTGATCGCTAAGGAAGTTGAGCATGACCTTAAGTGTCTTTTGGCCATTTGAAGTTCTTCTGTTGAGAATTCTCTGTTCAGATCAGTGCCCCATTTTATAATTGGGTTGATTAGCCTTTTACGGGATCTCACCAAGGCCAGCTGGCCTAGGTCTGAAAAAGCATGGGATAAATCCGGACTAGCTGAACATAGCGGACAATGAGGAATACTGAGAATTCAAGAACAATTGCAGTGGGTTTTTGATCCTACTGCACGTACTGGCTTTGTGGGAGCCTAGGCAGTTTGAATGCTCACCTTATGAGACCTGGATAGAGGTGGACAGTCCTTGGGCTTCCCACAGGTCAGGGAACCCTGATTGCTCTTCGAGCAGATGAGGGGGGGGGGGACTTGATCGGGGGAGGGGGAGGGAAATGGGAAGCGGTTGTGGGGACGAGGCAGAAATCCTTAATAAATAAATAAATTTAAAAAATAAAAAAAAATAAAATAAAAAGAACGTACTGATTTTTAACACAAACATGTATTCTACTGATATATAGCTCAATATATACATGAAGTAATCATGACTTAGACATAAATCCATACCAGACTTTTATTATAATTTCTTCCTAATAAAGACAGTATCAGAATGGTGATTAGTTTTTTACTAACAAATGTATTCACAACAAAATGCAAATAGTTTGCTACTTTAAAAAAAAACTAAACTTGTTTGAAAAGGAATTTATCTTATTTATTTTAAATCATCCCTCAAAAAAAAGAAAGTTCTCCTTGATAGAATGATAAGCAGAGGATGGGAGATCAAAAGTATCATTATCTTAAGCAATATTCACTAAATATTTTGATGGCTAAAAGAAAAATGGGAAGATTCGAATAATTTGTCACTTACATATGACTACTTTTATGATATTACTGGCCAGTTTTTGAAAAATTATACTTGACTATGACAAAAAAACATTCATGTATAATATAGTTATTATATTAATATATAGGTATTTATACTTATACTATAGCAGGGCATTTATACTTTGATAATATACTGAAACAATGGTCAACATAATTAATAAATTCATCTAAACTGAAACCCTAAAATTTCTTTCATCTATATATACTTGTAATAAAAGCTTTATAACCGACATGAATACCAAAATACAGCAAATTTTCTATTCACTTCACAACACTGAGATGGTAAACGTACCCGCTATACATAGTAATAATATATAAGCTTTCAATTTTGATCACATATTTCTATTCAACTTCATTTGGTATATGTGATGTATGACAAATGCTTTAACCACAAAATCCCACCAATATAGCTCCCTAATAATGTCCTGAACTGAATGACCTCAATAGACATGCAAAGAAAAAAAAGCTTAAAAAAACTTAACCCTATACCCAGGCAACAGAGAAATGCTTTGAGCAAGAAAAATTAGTCTTTCCTAGAGACGCGCACACCAATTGGTTATCCCAGATGTTCAGTCCTGAAAACATACACAAAGGTGGCATTATACCGATTGGGCAGGCTGATTTTCACACACAAACAATTAAAGAAAAAGAGGCCATAAATTTAAAAGAGAAAAGTATGTTATATGACAGGATTTGGACATAAGAAAGAGAAAATAAAGTAATTATAATCTCATTATAAGAAAATAAAATAAATAAAAACTGACATGACACCATAAGGAAACCAAACAATAAGTATACATTGGAATATAGCTTCAGGATTTTAATAATTTAATATGAACAAAGTAAAACTGAACATATTTATGATTTATACCTTAGCTCCATCTGAAATATTGTCCCAGTTTCCACCACTCAAAGAGAACTTCCCATTGCCTATACGCAGGAGTATTTCTTCAGGAGTATCATTGGGTCCATTGGAAAATGGAGTGTAGCTGTTTATAAAGTAGATTTTAATAAACATACAAAGGTACATTTTGTACATAATTGAAAGTGATGGCTAAAAGTCTATATACAAATATAAAAAGAAGCATCATTATTAGGCAAGAGCATTGCTTAATAATTCCCTTTACTATTAATATGAAATCATGTATCTCAAACAATGAATTTAATCCTAATAAATTATTTGACAAAGAATTTTGCTGATTACTTCTTTGCTTCCTTTGATTAGCAAACTAAGGGTGGACTTTTATATAAACATATAGTATTATAATGAGACCACAATAAAGCACAAATATTCTGTTTTGAAAGGCTTAAGGTCAGCAAGGCAATATATTTACTAGGAAGAAGTTTTAATTCTTACATAATCATAATATATTGTACCAATTCAGCTTACTCATCAACGTTTTATTTTTATGAATATAATTAGTGGAAATAAGTTACAATTTTCAGTTAATATCTATGAAAACGAATTATATTTAATATTGATGAGAATGTAATAAAAACACAGCCTCTGAATTATGTACATAAAATTACTCATGGGTTGAAAGAAACTCATAAATTTAAGGTGGATTTTAAAATTAACTTGACCAAAGTGATTATTTTTCTAACACTTTATAAGATGTAACCAAAATTTCTTTATACTTGAGAATTGGAAAGCTGATTTATGGTTGAAAGTATTAGGAGACAGCTTGCAGTAAAGTCTTCATTCCTTCATCTAACAATTGGGCTTAAATAACATCAAACACATACTTATATATAATAATTTCTTATTTAATCATAAAGCAAATATTTGAAAGCAGCAAGGAAGAAATTATATACTATGGTCTAAAACCTATAATATTGACTATATGTGATATGGTATACCATTCTATAAAGAGCTTATAATTTTTAAAATTCTGACATATGCAATTATGTACAGCCAATTAACAATTAACATTAATTTATGTTGCTAATGTATTTTATGTTTTTATACAGCAGTTAAATTGAGTATTTAAAATGTCATAAGTAACGTTCTGATATTTACTAGTTAACCATTCCTTTTTAAAAATCACAATAATTCATATAACCATAACTATTCACTTTAAAATAAAAGTGTTGCTCCCTATTAAGAGTAAAATATCATTTTAACCAATTATAGATTATAAACATTAACATGGTCTAATTATTATCATATTTATTTTGAGTATATCTTCATCCTATTAATGGTGGACATGTATGTATATGCTTCTCGTTTAATGTGTAGTATTACATTCTTATCAATCATCTTACTAAATTTGTTGCCCAGAATTAAAGTGCTTTCTTAATAAAATTAACTTAATATTAACAAGCTCAGTGGACATACTCCGATTATAATATACAGCTAATCAATAGTCTAGTAAGTTCAATCGTTAACCACACAGTGTAAAAATAAAAGGCTTATTCTAAAGCGTATTCTATATGAAAGCTTTTCTATTTTTGTATTGTTCTCATTTTATAAATAAAAGTATAGATTTGAAAATATTAATGGGATGTCTAACAGTATTTTCTTCTGTACTCTTTCTAGATAAAGATATGCCCTCAAGTTCAAATAACAAGAGTTTGCAAATATCTTACCCAGCCAACATAGTGTAAAATAGGACTCCTAAACTCCAAATATCACAAGCAGCATCATATCCCTGTTGAGTGAGAACCTGCAAAAAAAATTCATGGTATGAAATCTTAGTACGATAAACTCATATTATATATATATATATATATCACTGCAATATTGTATAGATTCTAATAATTTCATAAATATTAATAATATAAACATAAGTATAAAATTTTAAATTATTTTATGTCCTGCAAAGGTAAAAGTAAAATCAGCAAACACTGCATGATCTAGGATTATTATTGGCTGGTATGTAATACAGACTAGACACGAAAAAGAGCAACCCTATAAGATATAAAACCTAAGCCTTCGTTCTTCCTCATTTCAAATTGAAGAAAAAAACATCTAAACTTAAAACTTGTATGTACAAGTGTTTGATGGAACTATAAATAACACTGAGGTTTTTCATTCTGATATTGACTCTTATGAGGTAGATATTAATTATTCCAATTCTGAAGATGACACTGAGGGCAATGTTACGTAACCGGCCCATCATCATTAAACTGGTTAGTACTGTAGAACAGGCATTCTTACTAAACGGCAGTGCTTTTAATATCTATGAAAACAGCTTCTTATTTTGAGATAGGGTTTTCTTTTAAAGCCGAGCATGACTGAGAACTCCCTATTATATAGCCCGTGCTGTCCTTAAACGTGTGACAATCTTCTTGCTTCAACCTTCCAAGTGCTGGAATTACATCAGGTATGAGTCATCACATCTTGCTTGATAACTCTTTCCTAGTGATTGGGGTATGTGTGTGGTGTGTGTGTTGTATGTGTTTAAATATTTTGTAAAAGGACTACGCAGGGGTCCGAATCCTCGGGGCACCCAAGCGGGCGGGAGTTCCTTTGTTTCTATGGCCTGCCTGCACCAACCAGCAGAGAGGCCTGATCTCTTGGCGCCAGGAGAGCCAGCATAGGGGTGAGTTTCTGGCCCCGCAGCGCCAGCCTGGGACCAGGAGCTCAGAGGCTCCTTGAACCCCTATCCTTCTTGGGCTCTCTGCAGGGCCTCTACTCCCTGGGTGCTGCCTCTTTCTTCCTTAGCCCACCCAGCTTCCATCCAGAACCCTCCCCACTTCGGCCCCACCGCCCTCTTTCGGCACATAACATCACACAGCCCAGCCTGTCTGATCACTGGGTCCGAATCCTCGGGCCACCCAAGCGGGCAGGAGTTCCTTTCTTTCTATGCCCTGCCTGCACCAAGCAGGGTAGGCGCTTTGTTTGCCAGCTGCCCAACCAGCACGGAGACCTGATCTCTCAGCACCAGGAGAGCCAACGTTGGGGAGAGCCAGCGTTGGGTAGGCAAGGAGACTTGATCCGGTAAAAGAAGATCCATAAGGGAGCATTTGGAAGAAGAGATGGGCAGATGCCAAGGCAAGAATTCGCCCAACAAGCTGAAAAGCAACATGAAGCCACCAGAAACCAGTGACCTCACAACGGGAGGACATGAACACCTTGATCAAGAAGAAGTAGAAAAGATTGACTTCATGAAAGTGATTGACACCCTTAAACAGCATGTAAAAAACGCCCTTATAGAAATGGATGAGAAATATAACAGAACGTTTGAAGAATTGAATAAATCAGTGAATGATACCCTAGAAAACCAAGGAAAAACAATCAAACGGAAAATGGAAACACTTCAAGACTTGAAAACTGAAATGGAGGCAAAGAAGAAAACACAAACAGAGGGTCGGCTGGACATGGAAATTTTAAGTAAACAAACAGAGTCTACAGAAACAAGCATAACCAACAGAATACAAGAGTTAGAAGAAAGAATCTCAGATTCTGAAGATACCATAGAGAAAATAAACACACTGATCAAAGAAAACAGCAAGTCCAACAAACTCTCATCACAAAACATTCAGGAAATATGGGACACAATAAAAAGACCAAACCTAAGAATAATAGGAGTAGAAAAAGGAGAAGAAGTGCAGCTCAATGGTCCAGAAAATATATTTAATAAAATTATAGAAGAAAACTTTCCCAACCTAAAGAAAGATATACCTATGACGGTTCAAGAAGCATACAGAACACCGAATAGGCTGGATCAAAAAAAAATCCCCTCGTCATATAATTATCAAAACACAAAGCATACAGAATAAGGAAAGAATATTAAAAGCTGCAAAGGAAAAAGGCCAAATTACTTATAAAGGTAAACCTATCAGACTTACACGTGACTTCTCCACGGAAACCATGAAAGCTAGAAGGTCCTGGAAAGATGTAATGCAGAAACTGAGAGACCATGGATGCAAGCCCAGATTACAATACCCAGCCAAGCTTTCGCTCACTATAAATGGAGAAAACAAAATTTTCCAGGATAAAAATAATTTAAACAATACGCAGCCACAAATCCAGCCTTACAGAAAGTAATAGAAGGAAAATCACTAACCAAGGAGTCCAACAATGACCACAATAACTCAGACATCTAGAGACCCTTCACCAACACAAATCAAAGAAGGGAAACACACAAACTCTACGACTAAAAAAATGACCGGAGTTAACAACCACTGGTCATTAATATCACTTAATGTCAATGGACTCAACTCACCTATAAAAAGGCACAGGCTAAGAGATTGGATACGAAAACAGGATCCAACATTCTACTGTTTACAAGAAACACACCTCAACCACAAAGACAGGCACCTACTCAGAGTAAAGGGCTGGGAAAAGGCTTATCAAGCAAATGGACCTAAGAAACAAGCAGGTGTGGCCATACTAATCTCTAACAAAGTTGACTTCAAACTTAAATCAATCAGAAGAGATGGAGAGGGGCATTTTATATTCATAACAGGAACAGTTCATCAGGATGAAGTCTCAATCCTGAACATCTATGCCCCTAATATAAAAGCACCCACGTACAAAAAAGAAACATTACTAAAACTAAAGGCAGCCATCAAACCGCACACACTAATAGTAGGAGACTTCAACACTCCTCTCTCACCAATGGACAGGTCAATCAGACAGAAACCTAACAGAAAAATAAGAGAATTAATGGAGGTAATGAAGCAAATGGACTTAACAGACATCGATAGAACATTCCATCCAAATAGGAAAGAATATACCTTCTTCTCTGCAGCTCATGGAACCTTCTCAAAAATCGACCACATAGTCGGTAGCAAAGCTAACATCCACAGTTACAAAAAAATATTAGTAACCACCTGTGTCTTATCAGATCACCATGGATTAAAGTTAGAATTAAACAACAATGCTACCCCCAGAAAGCCTACAAATTCATGGAAACTGAACAGTCAACTACTGAACCATACCTGGATTAAGGAAGAAATTAAGAAAGAAATTAAAGTCTTCCTTGAATTCAATGAAAATAAAGAAACAACACACTCAAACTCACGGGACACTATGAAAGCAGTCCTGAGAGGAAAGTTCATAGCACTAAGTGCCCACTTAAATAAAACAGAGAAAGCACACATTGGAGACTTAACAGCCCACCTAAAAGCTCTAGAAAAAAAAGAAGCAGATTCACCTAGGAGGAGTAGAATTCTGGAAATAATCAAACTGAGGGCTGAAATCAACAAAATAGAAACACAGAAAACAATACAAGAATCAATGAAACAAAAAGCTGGTTCCTGGAGAAAATCAACAAGATTGATAAACCCCTATCCAAACTAATCAAGTGGCAGAGAGAGAATTTGCAAATTAATAAGATCAGAAATGAATAGGGGGACATAAACACAGACAAAGAGGAAATTCAGAGAATCGTTAGATCTTACTACAAAAGTCTATATGCCACAAAACTGGAAAATGTAAAGGAAATGGACACTTTTTTAGATAAATACCATATACCAAAGTTAAACCAGCACCAGGTGAACAATCTAAATAGACCTGTTAGTCGCGAAGAATTAGAAGAGGTTATCAAAAACCTCCCTACCAAAAAAAGCCCAGGACCAGATGGTTTCAATGCGGAATTCTACCAGAACGTCCAAGAAGAACTAATACCTATACTCCTTAATGTAGTTCACAATATAGAAACAGAAGAGGCATTGCCAAATTCCTTTTATGAAGCTACAGTTACTCTGATACCAAAACCGCACAAAGACTCAACCAAGAAAGAGAATTATAGACCAATCTCACTCATGAACATCGATGCAAAAATCCTCAACAAAATACTGGCAAACCGAATCCAAGAGCACATTAGAAAAATTATCCATTATGATCAAGTAGGCTTCATCATCAACAGGGATGCAGGGCTGGTTCAACATACGAAAATCTATCAATGTAATCCATCATATATAAACTGAAAGAAAAAAAAACATATGATCATTTCATTAGATGTTGAAAAAGCATTTAACAAAATTCAACATCCCTTTATGGATAAAAGTATTGGAGAGATTAGGGATACAAGGGTCATACCTAAATATAATAAAAGCTATATACAGCAAGCCGACAGCTAACATCAAATTAAACGGAGAGAAACTCAAAGCCATCCCACTTAGGAACACGGCAAGGCTGTCCACTCTCGCCATACCTCTTCAATATAGTGCTTGAAGTTTAAGCAATAGCAATAAGACAACATAAGGGGATCAAGGGGATTCGAATTGGAAAGGAAGAAGTAAAACTTTCGTTATTTGCAGATGATATGATAGTGTACATAAGCGACCCCCAAAACTCCACCAAAGAACTTTTACAGCTGATAAACACCTTTAGTAATGTGGCAGGATACAAGATCAACTCCAAAAAATCAGTCGCCCTCTTATACACAAAGGATATGGAAGCAGAGAGGGAAATCAGAGAAGCTTACCTTTCACGATAGCCACAAACAGCATAAAATATCTTGGGGTAACTCTAACCAAGGAAGTGAAAGATCTATTTGACAAGAACTTTAAGGCATTGAAGAAAGAAACTGAGGAGTATACCAGAAAATGGAAGGACCTCCCTTGCTCTTGGATTGGGAGGATCAACATAGTAAAAATGGCAATTCTACCAAAGGCAATTTATAGATTCAATGCAATCCCCATCAAGGTCCCATCAAAATTCTTCACAGATCTTGAGAGGACAATAATCAACTTTATATGGAAAAACAAAAAA